GATTCGTTGGGATGCTTGAAACCCTAATGGGCTTAATGAAACTCTAGCGGACTTATTGGGGCCCAATAAAGCCCTAATTGACTTAATAAAATTTTAATGATCCCGCCCAAAGTGACCAAGAGGCCCAACCATTTGTTTAATGGGTTAATATTTGACTGGAAGCCCAAATTAGGGTTTAGAAAACCCTAATGCCATGAAACTCTAATTTTGGGATTTATCGGGACCACAGATGAATTATTTAATAAACCTAAGCTATTAATTAATCATTAACTTAAAATATTAAATTACAATCATTAGTAAATTAATCTAAGGCAATAATAGACTTAATGGATTAAGTTCTTAAAGGATTAATCCCTTAATGGGTTAAGTAGGAACACTTAACCCTAATCATCATTTTTTGTGAAACCCTATTTTCACTTAGGCTTTGTGTTGGGCCATTCTATTGGGCTTTGGTAATTGGATTATTAATGGAGCATCCAAGAATGATCAAATGGACTAGAATATGTGATGGGCTTTAGGGTAAGGCCCATATGCGGGGTTGGGCCCAATTTGGAAAATTGGGCCATAGATGGGCCATAATTAGGCCCTTATGATTATGTGATATTGGGCCATAGGAATTGGACTAGAATAATTGGATGGGCCTTAAGGAAAGACCATGTAGAGGTCTGGGCCCAATTTGGAAAATTGGGCGATATATTAGGCTTTGGCCCATTACTTGACTTTTAGGCCTTTGGAGGGTGAGTTGGACTTTAGGCTTGGAACCCAATTACTAATTGGGTATTGTTTGATGTGGATAGTTCGGGAAGCTGTCAACCAGCAGCTGGAGTTTTATCTGCAGGACTTTAGCAATGACAAGTGAGTTATCCTCACTATATCAACAGATTATAAGGCACCAAGGCCGACCCTTTTGGATTTTATTCAGATTATCACATGATATGCTTACTGATTTACATCCTGGTAGTTAGGATGGTGATATGATATGCTTAGTGACCCGGTTAGGTCGGTATCCTATTTACAGGATGTTGCTATGGTTAGAGATCTGCTAGATTGATTGACTGTTATATGCATGATATTGTTTGTATGTTATCCATATGGACATGATTGTTTGTTTGGGGGTTGGGTTGAGGCGGCGTCCTGCTTTGTGCGGTTGAGGCCAACATTCCCGGGGTGGTCCGGATAGGCTGTAGGCCCGTAGGAGGCGGTTCAGTCATGCCGAAGGAGCGGGAGCAGTCCAGATAGGCTGTAGGCCCGTAGGAGGCGGTCCAGTCATGCTGAAGACTCATTATGCATGTTGTTATGTATTTGTATTGATATGATATTTGTTTTGGTTAGTATGGGTTGGTATTTTGGGTGTAAATCACTAAGCCTTCGAGCTTATTGTTTTAGGTATTTTTGATGAACGCGGGAAGGCAAAGGCGTGATCGTACACCTCCTCATATTTTCATGATCTGATTCTGGGGATACTTTGATGCTTAAACTATTTTGAAAACAAATTGTAATAACTTAATGGTTTCAAATGTTTTAAAAAGTTTAAATTGGCTTGAATTTTACGGGTGTTACAGTGCAATATTTGTTTAAACAAAACATTTGAGAAAAAAATCATTTTCACAAGAGTGACATTGAGTTATCATAATTAGTACACAAATTTTCACCTCAAGAATCATTCAAGACTCAATATTTTTATACATAATTGATCAAGCTATTAGTTCATTAGAGTGGAGGTTTGAGCGGTACAATTACTATGAAGACATTTTTGGTTTTTTATTCACAATAAATTAATTGAAATCGCTCAATACTAACGAACTAAAGGAAAACTACCAAAATCTTTGAGAGATTACAAAATGGTTATATATTAGACATCTCTAGTGATATTTATTTAACAAACTGAAATTATTATTAAAAAATTATTAATTGGCGATAATACAACTAATAGAATACTAAATTCATTAAAAATGGTAAAAACTTATCTAGTTTCTTGTCTACCATACAAAATAGTGTTGATTGATCCTATTACTGTTGCATTAGTAGAAATAAGACTTTAAAAGCTAAAAAATTTTAAAATATTATTTTTGATTTACCATATAACAAGAGCAGTTAAATGTTTTGATTTTGATTTCCATTGAGAAAGCGATTGTTGAAAATATTTATTATGAAAGTATAATTGATGAATTTGCTTAAAAACTTCTAAAATATCCATGTTTAGAGAATAATAATGCGCTGCATGTTTATCTTCTTTTATAAAATTATTTTTTGTAATTTGTATTGATTACTTATGAAAGAATACTATGTGCCTAGGTAGAAAACTTATGAGATGATTGTTTTCAACTTAAAATTTTTATTTTAGTGGCAAATAATTTACTTAATATTATTTTATATAAAAAAAATATGGGGACCCAACTTAATTTTCGTGCAAGACCTTTGAAATTTCAGGTGCAAGCCTCTTTTTCCCTCCCTTCCAACTCCGACCTCGCCCTCGTGCTTGTCTGCATCGTCTATGCCGCCCTTTTCCATTGTTGGTGTCGTCCTCGCCAAAGTAAGAATCTCTCTTTTTTTTGTTATGGTTTATTTTGTATTTGCTAAAATCAAACATATGATAATCTTTTGAAACCGAAATCAGTTTGTTTTTGGTTTGATGAAATTGACATCTGATAATCTTTTGGTTTGCTCAAATCGGACATTCTAATTTTCTTTGCTATGAAATCTGAGATCTGATAAGTTGTTGGAACCGAAATCCGACTTATTTCTAAAATCGAACATATACTTTTGAAATCAGGCATCTTGTGAGGTTTTTTTTTTTTGCTTTTTGTTTACTGAAATGTGTACTATGTAAAATAAGTATGGTTTGCTGAAAACCTGATGTTCTTTTGGTTTGTTGAAATTTAATGTGATTTGTGCTTTTGGTTTGGTTATTTTACCGATTTTGTGCTTATGATCTGATGATTTTGTGTTTCTAGTGTGCTTTTCTAGGCTTATTTTTATGATCTCTTCCTAAAATATAATGTTCTTTTTTGTTTGTCGAAATCTAATGTGCATTGTGCTTTTGGTTTTTGTGAAACCACCTACTTATTCAAGCATGTCTCTAGTTCAGATTTTAATCATATAGAACTTGCCAAACACACCGTACAATATTTAGGGGGTGTTTGGTTTATTTTTTTGAGAGACAAAAGTTCTTTTTGAAAAAGTTGCAAAAAATTAGATTTTTCTGATCTTTCCAAAAAGTCAGTTTTTCTTATATCCAAAATCCAAAAGTAACTTTTGAAATGATTTTACCAAACATCTTTTACCTTTTATCTTTTCATAAAAGAATTTTTGGTCTCTTAAAAGATAATCCAAACATCATTTACATTTTTTCTCATAATGTATGTAGATATCATGTGTTCATTATTTTGTTTTGCGTGGCACACTACTAGAAACTTGAGTTTCAGCTACGGATTTTGCTACGGATTTATTCTCTAGCAAAATTTAGACTTATAGCTAGGAAAAAACGACAGATCTACCATGGTTTTGATAATTATTTTATTTATTAAATATATGGAATATTAGTGAGGATTTACCGAGGGATCAGCTACGGATCTTACAAGTATTTAACGACGGACGACTATTCCTCGCTAATCACTCGAAAAATGAAGACACTTAGCTAGGGTTCAGCGAGGGATAAAAAATTGTGCCATATGGTATGCGTTTAGCGAGAGAACGACGACGGAAACTTTATTTGGGTGCGCGCATTTTCTTTTTTTCTCTCGCTGAAATTGACACACCCAATTCCATCTTCACGAAGGCAGTGTAACTTTACTTCCCTCCAGATTTATCACTCTTGACTAAGTGAAATTAGCTTCTGCTTTATCTCACTATCTCTGTTCGAACAGATGACGATGCTACTCACCCGATTTCGGCAACCTCGATATCTTTAAACTTGAAAGTATTCTTCGTTAACCTCCGATTCAGGTAAATCTCATCCCTCTTAGGTTAGTTTTAGTTCAATTTCACAATATACTTTGTTAGGGTTTAATTTACCTTGAAAGTTTCTGGTTACTGTGTTTCGTAGCCATATGAAATGCCATCAATTGCAAGTTAGGTTCAGGTCTACCATCAATTGCATCTATATAATAATAGACACTTAGAATTAGAACTTGAGTTAGGGCTTGATTCATCATAGTTTGTCTTCCAGTTCATGAGAATTTAAGGATTCATGAACCCTTACATTTTTAGGTTTTCCCCAATTCTCTTTCATATTTAGGAGGTGACAACGTGAATTTCAAAAGAAACAAGTGACTTATCCTTCATTATAACTACCTCTACCAAATCAATTACACCCTGAGCTTCTTTCCAGGATGAGGAGATTCATCACCACCACTGTCATCTTCATTTGCATCTCCTCCTTTGTTCATTTTCTTTTTGGCAAGTATCTTATTAATCTTATGAATCTCATTAGTAATCTTTTGGTCTTTGTTCTGCTTTCTTGTCTTTCGTCCATCTTGCATCTTCACACCAAACTAAAACGCAGCTTTTGGCATGGCTTCCTAATGTCGCCCATTCCTCTTCTGTCTCAAAGTCCCACCTATGAAGCCAACCCTTTTCCTGTTTTATACATATTACATAATTAACATATATCATCTCCCATTAACATACAATTGTAAATGAAAAAAAAAAACACTTACTCGACCACCCATATCCATTTTGGATAAATCAGCTTCATCATCACTATCAACAACCTCACGATTATATTCTTGATAACCCGGATAACATTCTGAATAGCTCTCGGATATAAAATTCGGATCTTTCTTACGAGCATATTTTTACCTTAATTGTTGAAGCCTTGTATCATCCCGCTTAAACACCGACCCTAAACCTCTATCTTTCTCTTCTTGTGTCATTAAATGTGGGTCCCCTTCTATGGTCAAACCTCCATCGGCTCCACATATTGATACTCCTACTGCCACTCTCCCTGATAGCCTTGTACTTGCATAGCATCATACCCATTCTAAAAATTTGGTAAATTGTTAAGCAAGGTGAGGGTAAAATAGTAAATAAAAGTATTTTGCTATTTTTCTCACTGTTTGTTGCCAGTCTTGAGATGGGTCCGAGGGTGGAACAGGGCCATAAGCTGGCTCATTGAAATTGGAAGGTCTCTCTTTTCTTTTAGGAGATTCTTCCATGTCTTCTGACAATGGGCTTGGGCTCATATCTTTACTAGGGACAGAATAGTCGATTCCTTCTCCTACAAAGATGTCATCCTCCTCAACACGAGCAACAGGGGGCTCCACCTCAACTTTCTCTATTTCATCGGAATGATTGCTTCTGGGAGGTGGTGGTGGTGGTGGTGGTGGACCTGGTGGTGGTGGTTACACAATTGTTCTGTTCATTACTTAATTTTCAGATGGCTGCTTCATTCATCAGGTTCTGCAAATCAGCTCCTGTGAAACCTGGTGTTCTCCTAGCAACCTTATCAAAATCCACATCTTTTGCAAGTGATTTTCCCCTTGAATGCACCTGTGCAACATATAAGAAACTTTAGATGCTTTTTTTCTTTTTGACTAATTTCATGATCGAACCTGAAGGATCCTGACTCTACCAGCAACATCAGGCCGGTCAACTGTCACCTATCGGTCAAACTGCCCAGGTCTCAACAAATGTTGTTCCCCATTCCCTGAAAATATAATCATTTACAAATTATTAAAAAAAAATAGAAGAAAATAAGCACATTGCTAATATAGGAAAAAAAATACCTGATAATAAAGATCGATATGATCTGAGATAGATGAAATTAATATAAATACTTATAATTTGTTTAGATTTTTGAATGCAATCTTTTCTTTATTTTTAGATGGATTCCACCCAAAGTATCCTTGTTTTTACCTGCTATTAATCTTTACAAATTATTGATGACACAAACTGCTGTCCAATTTTTTTTTCCCGTTTCCTGTACCAAGGGTACTTTAGGTATTTCATATTATGAGTCATCATCTACAACGTTTTTATTAACAAACCAGATTTGGAGGTTTTATTTATCCAACAATCCAAATCAAATTTTATATCATAGCTGAGTTTTTTCAACCCTTGAATGCATGTTTTTTCAAGATGTATCCACTAACATAAATAAAAACATAACTTAAATAAAGAAACTGCATGGTTCGATTAAAAGACAAGGATAAAAACATAAAACTACCTAATGTTCCCAGTATATATCAACAAAATAACATGATCATGAAACAAAAGATTTACTAAATTCTCACAACTTGTCGTGAATTTTAGTTGCAACAAATTTCATTATTTTTTCTTTTCTAGGATGAAGGAAGCTTCTAGAAGGATATTATCTTTCAAAATATTAAAGCTAGACCTTAGGATGTTGCATAGATATATAACCCTTAATCTAGCAATTTTTTGCTCTTATGCAACAGAATCCCCCTTGAATCCAGTTTTAACTCTTTGATGTTGCCACTCATGAAAGTCTCCATGTGGCACATAGTGAAAACACTACAATCTGTGTTGTTGTTGATTGTTTCCCACAGGAGTTGGAGGATATGTCTTGAAACATTTGAAAATTGTTCAACGAGTGGATGCTGAATAAATTCCATGTAATCAGATATGTATACATTTTGGATATGATAGGACTAATATGGTTAATAAAGGCGAGTTATAAATATAAAAAGTAGTATGATATCTAATGGTATCTTACAACAAGATCTGGAAATACACCATAAATCCATAGTTAACCACAAATTCTATTTTTGTTTATGATTAAATCTAATGATGTTAAAATAATACATTTATGGTTAATCATAACTAATTAACTCTAACAAGGATAAACCATTGTTTTTAACATACTGTAATGGAGTGATAACAACATTATGTTGTAATAAAGTTAAAGTTCATAACCTATATTGGTAATGAAATGCACAAAAATACTTCTAAAATAATGAGCATTATGCAAGGTGTTACAAATGTAGGCATTCTCATGTCAATGATGATTAACTCTAAAAAGTTAAAAATGAATAAGTTTAGGGTTAATTAAAACGAATATTCCAAATTTTGCAAATACACTCTTTGGTCCATTTTGAATTTCATCTTGTCGATTCTTGTAAGTTTTAACATTACTATTACTAATAATATTGTCCACAAGTTTTTCATGCCCTGGACGAAAAATATGTAATAAATGCATAGTTGATTGTTTGTTTAGGACTTTACACTTGAATAAAAGACCCGTCTCTTGAGTTCTGATTTTATTATAAATTTTCTACTCTTACACATTATTTCAAATTCCATTGATATTTTGACCAAAGAGTGGTTTTAGAAGAAAACTTGAAATCAGAAATACAAGTTTTTTAGAACAAATAAGTAGAGTACCATTAGCATGCTAGGCTTTGTCTATGAAGAAAAGAGACTGTAGGCTTGACATAAGTAAACCCCTGAAACATCTATTTCTGCAGCTTCAACTTCAACTTCAACTTCCTCCTCCACATCTATTTCTGCAGCTGATATCAATGTCACTCCTCTGAGACAGGTACACCATTACAAACTCAACTTAACTTAATAATGTTTTTTAGAACATTTGTGCTAAATGACCACTATACCCTTCTGTTTGTCTAATTCATATGGACTTAATGTGAGTAAATCACCATTTTACCCTTCTTGTTTTGTGTATTTACTTATCGACTGAACGAACTGTCTGAATGCGAGTAGATTACCAATCACAAATCACACTTTTAGAAAGTCAACCATCTTTTGACCTTCTTTTGTCTCTCTTATGTCTTTTTCTTGATTCAAGTCTCTTGTCTCATCATATCTATTTTGATTAAGCCTATTGACATGTTCAACATTTAGGAAAACAAAAATAAAAAAACATGGATTGGTTGTAATTATGAAGATTGATTACAACATTTAGTATCTATACCCAATCTATACACATGATTAAGATAGTCATATGACAAATAACTAAAATTACAAGAATAAATATTATCCATCTCCAACATTTACCTCCACAATACAATAAGCACAATGAATATACTTTGAAATGTTAATGACTTCATTTTTTTTATTAATAGATTATATAACATAGTCACTTGTGTAAACATATTAAAGCTCTATCTTATTCTTTGCTATATGTCTATCACTTAGAATTTATTTGATTACTTTCTCTCCCTTCCCGTTCTTGTTTATTCCAAAGGATTTATTGTCATCCACTTCTTCTTATTTTGTTGTAGCTAGTTTTTATCTAATCTCTATCTAGGTTCTGAATAGTAGTTATATATTTTGTTGTAGCTAGTCATTATGTCAACACGTAGTGATAGAGATTGGATGTACAAAAGGTTAGATCATGGGTATCTTAGCATAACATATCATGCATCCGTCAAAGGATTTCTAGATGTTGCTTTTTCTAATGAAGCAACTGTTGATGGAGATTATATTAGATGTCCTTGTTTTAAATGCAAGAACATGTATTATAAAACAAGAGGTGATGTAGAGCTTCACTTGTTACAAAACGGTTTCAATCCTAATTACACAACTTGGTGGGCACATGGTGAAAGAAATACGATATCTCAGCATGAGGAAGAATCTTCTAATCCGATGCAGGATCCGATGGAAGATGATGATGATGATGATGTTAATGGGTGTACACAAATGTTGATGGATGTAATGGAGGAACTCCCGAATCCAACTGCCAAGGGGTTCTATGATATGTTAGAAGATGCTGATGAACCTTTGTGGGATGGATGTGAAAATTATTCAAAATTACAAGCTGCAACAGAGTTGTTGCATTGGAAGTCAGAATACAATATATCTGAGGCTGCCTATGATCACATACTTCCTATAATTAAGCGAATGCTACCCAAAGGTGAGAAACTAGTTGAGAACTTCTATGAGACAAAGAAGCTTTTGAAAATAATTAGACTCCCAGAAAAAAAGATTCATGCTTGCAAAAACCATTGCATGATATTCTATGGGGCAGATTCGGATTTGACTAAGTGTCGGGTGTGTGATCATGATCGGTACAAGAGTGGCAGACTGCCTTATCTGGTTATGAGGTACTTGCCGATTGCTCCTAGACTCCAAAGGTTGTATTTAACAAAAAAGACGGCAAAGCAAATGAAATGGCACTATGAACATCAGACCGAACCGGGTTTGATGGTCCATCCAAGTGATGGTGAGGCTTGGAAGCATTTCGACTCATTGCATCCAGAATTTTCAAGTGAACCACGGAATGTTCGCCTTGGGCTATGCACCGATGGGTTCAGTCCAAATAACTCAAATACAACCCCATATTCATGTTGGCCTGTTTTCCTTTCAATTTATAACTTGCCTCCTTGGATGTGCTTAAAAGAACCATATGTTCAATTAAGCATAGTTATTCCTGGAAAAAAGAGCCCAGGTCAAAATATAGATGTGTTTCTCAGGCCGCTAATTGACGAGTTAAAGATGCTATATACAGATGGTATTGTGACTTATGATGCTTCGACTAAATGCAATTTCACAATGAAAGCTATACTTCTTTGGGACTTTCCTGCTTATGCAATGTTATCGGGATGGAGCACACATGGCAAGTTAGCATGTCCGTATTGTATGGGTGAGTCGGGGTCATTTCGGTTACACCATGGTAGTAAACCATGTTGGTTTGACTGCCATCGAAAATTTTTACCTGAACGACACACATATAGGGGTGATAAAATAGGATTTCTGGCTAATAAGGTTGAGCGATCTAGCCCCCCACCAATATTAACCGGTGATCAAATTTGGGAGCAAGTACGACACTTTCCAACTGTTTATGAAGGCAAACCTTTTAGAGCGAAGAATGCAAAATTGCCTGGTTTCGGGATTACTCATAATTGGGTTAAGAGGAGCATCTTTTGGGAGCTACCATATTGGCGGAAGTTGTTAATACGACACAACCTTGATCCCATGCACATTGAGACAAATGTGTTTGAAAATCTTTTCAACACCGTGATGGACACTCCAAAAAGCAAAGACAACATGAATGCAAGAAAAGATATAGAAATGTATTTGGTTGATATTAAATACAAATCAAGGCTAAGAAATGAAGATCCGTTTATCCTAGCGTCACAAGCAGAACAAGTGTATTATGCACCATATCCTGCAATGAAGGATTTGAAAGATTGGTGGGCTGTCGTCAAGACAAAACCAAGGGGTGTATATGATCTACGACAATGTGTTACTGAAGAAGATGATGATGAGGATGAAGAGGACCAATTCTTTCAAGAAAGTGAAGCGACTTTACCTTCTACAAGTAGCGGTGCAAATGAGGTGGCAGGACCCCTTTCTCATGTAATTGAAGGAGAAATAGAAGAAGTTAATGACAATGACATTGAGAGAGAAGAGGATGAAGAAGTTGATGATAACTTGGATGATTCATCCGAAGATGATATTGAAGATGAAAACATATGTGATGATAATTCTGATGATGAGTAATTACTAAAAATGTAGAACGAAACAATGTATTTGGAACTATATATTTTACCTAATGGACCTTATAAATAACTTTTTAGCTAAAATGATCGTTTTCTTTTTCTATATACATTGCACTTTCATTTATTTGTGTATTATAGCATGTTACCTTCTCTTACTTCTATAATTTTCTATTATAATACATACTTATTCTAACCAATAGTTTATTAATTCTTGATTTTAAGGGTTATTTTTTGACTAATGGCGCAACGAGGAGCCCGTGGTGGTGGTCGCAGTGGTAGTCACATTAGTGGTCGTGATGCTGGAGATAGAAATGCATCCCAATCATACAATGATGCAGAAAGTCAACCTTCTTCTTCAGTTAGAGGATCAAACATCTTAGAACAAGTTCCAAGTAACCCATCAAAAAGGAAGTTCATTGAAGTCGATTCTGAAAAGGAGTACTAAAGTTAATTTTACAATTGTTTATGAAAATGAATTTACTTGTTAATGATAATACTAATGCTAATTTTTTAATTTTTAATTTTTTGCAAGATTTACGGATCAGATTTCAGTGATCAGAGCCATCACATGTATACTGAAGACGATGTTTGACGGCCCATGGACCTCATGGAAGAAGGTTGACAAAGAACATCGTGATGCAATGTGGGAACACTTCAAGGTTTGTACTTATTATTTTTATGATTTATCAAAGTAAAAATTGGTATAAAGTGAAAAAGATAATTGTATGCGTGATCTACATGTAGGGTTTGTATGTTTGGCCCGAAGAGACTGATGTTCTTGCTCGCAAGGTATGGGAAGACTGTATGAAGAAACGATTTCCTGACGTAATGCGAAGAGCACGTGAAGCATCTTTAAAACTTGCCAAAGCTGCAAATGTGAATGCCTCACTAGAAGGTGATTTAAATTTGCTAAAGGACTATCGCCCAAATTGGATAAAAAAGGAGTATTGGGAAAAAATGATCAATGAAGTGTGGACCACATCCAAATGGAAACGTTTATCACAATCAGGGAAAAATAACAGAAATAAATTAGAAGATGGCTCTGTTTCCAAACATACCGGGGGTTCTATATCTATTCGTCAACATAAGAAAAGAATGGTAAGATGTTTGCATCTCACGTTAGTTTCCACTTAGATTGTTGAGTTTTTGTTTTGTTTTTTAATGTATTACTAATGGATTTTGTAGCAAGCAATCTTAAACGCCCTCCTACAGGAGTTGAACTTTATGCAAGGTTGCACACTAAACGGTCTACTCAAGAGTACATTACACCAAAGGCAGCTAAAGTTAAGGTATTTTCAATTCTTTTGTAGGAAACAAAACTTCCTACTACTCGGGTTAATGACTTTGTTAAAGCAACTAATTGACAAAAAACAAATCTTTCGTAAGTAGTAATCAACTAAATGTTTGATCCTCTGCCTAGTTGTAATTAAGTGTTTTGTAAGTAGTAATCAACTTTATGCAAGGTTTGAGTATTATGAATTTAATGGGATGGAATGAACCATTCTATTCCTTATTTCATGTTACTATTTTTTCATATTTTTTTTGCTATAATAGGAGGCTTATGAAAGTGCTATGGTGGCTAAGTTTGGTGATGATACTAGTTGCCACCCCCTCTTGGATAATGAAACATGGTGTGATGTTTCCGGAGGAGTCAAGAAAGGAAGAATATATGGATTCGGATCTGTGTCTGATCCAGCGAGCTTTTTGGAATGAACATCTAGTACAATAACATCCCAAGAGGTTCGTTTAATTTTGTACTTTATAAAAATTTCCTATCATAGCATTGTACTTACAAAGTTTCCTATCATGGCATTGTACTTGCAAAGTTTCCTGTCATGGCATTGTACTTACAAAGTTTTCTATCATGGTATTATACTTACAAAGTTTACTATCATGGCATTGTACTTACAAAGTTTCCTATCATGGCATTGTACTTACAAAGTTTCCTATCATGGTATTGTACTTTAGGTTGTCTATGAACGTGTACGAAACGAGATGCGTGGCGAAATGGATGCTAAACATCAACAAATGCGTGAGGAAATGGATGCCAAAGCTGCAACAATAGATGTCAAACAACAACAAATTGATGCAAAATATGAAGCAATGGAAAAGATGCATGCAGCCTTGCAAAATATGATGGGAAATTGAAAAGTAAAGGTAATATGATGTTAACCATTAGTATTTGATGTTTTTGAATGACTTGTTAACCTTTTGTATTTGATGTTTTTGATTGTTTTGAATAATGTTTTATAGGAATGAGAACCGAAGATGATTGGATGGACATGAAACGAAGATAGCAGCTAAAATGTTATTTTGAAGGTTAAACTTTTTTCTGTTTGTACCTCTTTTGCATACTTTGGATTTCTTGGTTCTAAAATGTTATTTTGAAGTTAAATCGTTGGGAGTTTGATGTTATGTGGATAGTTTCGTTTTTGGATGTTTCTTGAATGACACTTTGGTAAACTTTGATAATTTTGGTATTGTAATGCTTGGTTGTATCATTATTTGATGTTCTTTAGTATAATAATTTGATGATTGTAGTATTTTTTTTCTTTTAGAATCATAATAAAAAAAATGATATTACAAGTTCGTGGTGAGAAAATAAAAAGTATTTTAATGCATGAATTTTGCGAGGGATTAGCTACGGAAAAAAAAATCATGTCTAAAGTGTGCGACGGATCAGCGACGGAAAGGAAAAAAATTTAATGTATGAATTTTGCAAGGGATTAGTGATGAAAAAAATTCATGTCTAAAGTTTGCGATAGATCAGCAACGGAAAAAAAAATAGTATATGAATTTTGCAAGGGATTAGCTACGGAAAAAAAAAAAACTGTTCATGGAAATTTGCGACAGAACAGCGACGGAATGCATTGAGTGACATTTAGTGACATTTAGCGACAGATATTCTGTCGCTACCTTTGTGGCAAGGAAAAACCTAATCCGTCGCTAAAACCGTAGCTGAGAAATTAGCCACCTTTTTATTACCTATGGAGTGAATCTGTCGCCGATCCATTGCAAACAGCATTTAGCGACGGAATAGCGACGAATTTTTCCGTCGCTAAAACCCATGTTTCTAGTAGTGGCAACTCGCAAGTCAACTAATATCTTGATATAATTTCAATAAATAATAATACCAATTTTAAGTATAAGTTAAGATGGTCCAACTAAAAAAAGTATAAGTTAACATTAAAATATCATACTAACTAATTTTAAAGAATTTTGATGAAGAAAAATGACAGATGGACAGAAATACATGGTGATTAATCCAAATGGATGGAGGAGACAGGTTCGTTAAGACTTAAATTAACTGCCCTATTGGACCCACTCTTATCCTTTGACCCAAAGACTTTGACCTCTCGTTCTTTCTTTTTTTTTTTCTTAATTTTTCAATTTTAAATCAACTTTTTTTTTTCATTAATATAAATTGCTATTATGATGTGTTAGATTTTGAATGTTTCGAATATTAGTAGAATGCTTGTATAATTTAAGGATTATGTACATTAAACATCTTTCAAAATCTATGATTTCACTAAAATTACTTATCATGAAATCAGACTTGGTATAATCTAAGAAATGATAAATCCATATTTTAGGAAAAAACTTAGGGGCTGTTTGGTAGGATCTGAAATTTTAAGATCTGAATTTTTAAGATGTCTGAATTTTTAAGAGGATCTGAATTTTTAAGATCTGAATTTCTAACATGCTGTTTGGTTGGAACCTCTGAATTACTGTGATGAATGATAAAAATGACCATTATACCCTTCTATATTATTTTTTGCCGAATCACTTGATTAATTACAAAAAAATATAAATACCATACAAAATCCAAATAAAACATTAATACCTTCAAATCGACAAAAACATGTCTTCAAATCAAATAGTTTAACCTACAAATTCAAATTCAACAAAGAAACATAGAAGCTTATCATGTTTATTTTTGGAGCTTAAACTCATTAGATAGTATTGCTCAAACATAAAGTGAAACATTCATTCACTTGCTTTCAGTGAAGATATATATACTAAACAGTTATTCTCGATTTATCTTTGGTAAAAAAAGATATAGCTATCAAAAACATGAAAACTACAATAACTCAATTGCTATTAATTCAACAAAAATGTCTCTAGAGTACATACCATTCAGAGACTTCCAAAGATTAACAAACAAGAAGATAATATGTATCTCTACATGTCAATACTTATGTTGTACAGCCTCCCATACTTCTTCTCCCAAACAATCTTTAACCGCTAAGGTAAAAGGTTTTGTCGAATAACCTAAACTCTCAATTCACCATTATCCCTGTACATACAATGAACAATTCACTAGGAATATCTTACAAAATGCAATATACAAACCATAGCAAAAGGGAAATTGAGAAGTGTTGATGTGAAGAAGCAATTGCTCTTAACATATATATATATATATATATATATATATATATATATATATATATATATATATATATATATAAATTGATTAATTATGAAAAAATTGTAAAAATTAGTGAGAAACAGAAGACAACGATAACATCTGATTTCAACATGAAGACAACATCATCAGATTTTCAAACGATTCCCTAATTTCAGGGGAAAAAAAGGAAAACGTTGCTTTGATTTTAGGGGAAAAAAGCAAATGATGCTTTGATCTTCAAATTTTAGGGGAAACAACTATGATAATTGATTTTCAAGCATTAAACTCGAATTACATAGCAAGAGAAAAAAAAAGACTTTACCTGCAAACGTTGTCAGAGGCGAAAGAGGTGACGGAGACGAAGGCGAAGCCGACGGCGCCAGTGGCGTTGCAGATCGGAAGGAGGCAACAGATCGGAGTTGGAAGAGAAAGGGGCGGAAGAGAGAAGTGGCATTGAAGAGAAAGGCGTGCGTATGAGAAAAGAAAAAGCGCAAGTTTTTATCTGGGGCACAATTGTCTTCTTTTTATTTCAGACACGGGTTTAGGTCTGATTTTTTAAGAGGCATTTGTACAATTAAGAGGTATTTTATAAGTGGCTACCAAACACCTCACATCTGAATTTTTAAGAGTTTGCCTCTTAATTTTTCATTTAATAGGTAAACAAACAGGACCTTAGATTTCAACATAAAATACATTGGTTAGTTTGTGATCTGTAGAGACAATGATCTCAAAGAGAAAAAATAGTTTTCTCGTATGCTCGAATCTTTCTGCAACGTTAACATCTTGATTATATGCCGAGATGATGACAATTATGAAGAATAACTACACCCTTTTTGTAATGGATGCAAACATTGGGTTTCGGGTTAGATAATTCGGTTGGGCCTATTTTTTTATATGGATTATTTTTCGAGTTGACGCGCTGCCTCACAGATCTCCTTGACCCTCACCCGGTCAGCAGGCAAGGAACCCCCGCTAGGGGGGATGTCCCTTCAAACCCCACTGAGATCACTTGTCCGTATATCATGTTTCCGAGTCCTTTTAAATTATCCAAGTGTCTATTTTGCATATAATGTCTAAGAATATAACCAAAAGATATTGGGTTTGTCTCAAAAAGAATCTTGATTGCACTAAAATATTAATGGTACTAAAATCAACAACATAAAACAAGACTGTAAAATGTTTTTTTTTTTCAAACCGTGCTACACCAAGACAACTGATGCACCCCAGAATTTATACAAACAAAAGGCATAAATTAATAAACTAATTATACAATTTAAAAATTCAAAAGATATTTTATGTATTAAAATCAGTGTGTTCAAATGAAGATAGCCGATCAGCAAAATAAACCAACTATTTTGGAATCGGCAGGTTGGAGCAAGTGATTCTTGAAAGTTTTTTATTGGAAAATTCTCAATTTTGAATTTTTTTTTTTATCAAAGATGTATACAAACAAGGATTATTCGTTTTTATTTTGTTTTGATTCAGAGAATGAGATACATGATAAGTCCCTTTCCTCCGAATTCGTGTTTTACGTGGGCCATGACATTTCAAACCTTTTTTGACTATTCTTTCTTCCCATTATAAAATTATTGTGATATAATAATATTTAATTGTATTAGTTTATTATATCCATACATGGATGGCTAGTGTTTAATATTAATTTGGTGGTTCTAATTTCGTCTTCATTCAGATCGAATTCTTATATTTAATTTCTGAATTAGAGTTTTCAAACAAAACCGTATGGCAAATTTGATTATATATATTTATTTTAGGGATTCACTAAAACAGACAAAATAGGATGTGTTATTCACACAATGACATTCTTTAACAATTATCAAAAGAACGTACATATTCTGTAATGTGTACCCTTGTACTTTTGTGAATTTACATTATGAATTCATTTGTGATTTATTAAAACATATCATATTTTACTAAATAATAAATATTATCTTAAAATATCTTCCTTTGTGAAATTTCAAAATTCTTTTATTCATTGTACAAAAATTGTATTCACTTATTCATTTTTCAGTTAGGTGCATTTCTTGAAAATATATGATGATTAAATTTTTTAAATTGTACAAACAAAGAAGTTCACCCTCTTTTATGAAATCATAAAAGACATCATATTACCGAAAACAAGAATCATTTCCCAAATAAAAACTTTTACGAAAAAATTATTAATTTATTTACAAGTTTGTTGTTTGCATTTATTATAACTAGTGATGTTTTTTATGGTGTTTTCGATTTGGATTGTATGAACGGAACAATAGATACACGAATACAAACAGATATAAGTTGTAATGCAGGTTTTAAAAATTGTGGTTTGTTGTTTTAGCTCACTTTACTTGAGTTTTATTAGCAATAAAGTTTTATCCATAAAAACATTGTACTTTGTAAGTATGATGATTTAATAAGCAAAAAAAAAAAAAAAAAAAAAAAGAACTATATTCAAGTCAAAGGCATGCAGATCACATCAAACATAAATGTACAAATCAAAGGACACGTACACATAAGTTGATACAAAACAGATGGTATATACAGAAATATATATAAATCTGATTATACAGACATACAAATAAGCTCTCACATACACGTATCTTTGAATGGGTAAAACTATTGAAAGCAGTAAAAAAAATTACTATACGTACTATTCATAAGAACATTGTGATTTAAATATATGTATAATTATTACTTTTGGAATGAAAATTTTATTCAATCAGTATGTTTGTTATGACTTCTAAAATATATATATGAAACGACATACTATCATATTCTTAATCTAATTGTAAACACCACCTATGTCTCCTAGTGAGACTTGAACCCACGATCTCTCATTTTAGCTCATATCTACAGAAAATAACAAACTAAAAACATAATCTAATGATTGAAACATGGTTTATGCAAAAGATTAAGATAAAAGTAGTGTGTTATTGCCTTTGATCTTCTTCCAATTTGATATCTAGGTTGAAATCTCGAAAACCACAGCTTTTAAGAACCCTTATGGCCTCCAAAAATCGTCCTAAACTTCCCCCACTCGTTAGGGTTCGAATGAGAAGAGTTTCTATATATATTATGAAAACAGGGGCTACTTGGCGAGTACAGTGACCTACTCGGCGAGTCCATCACTTAAAAT